CGGTGGGGGGGGTCGCCTGCCCTCCGTTGCCTTTGCCAGCGAGTGGCAGGCACAGTGGTGGGAGGGGAGGGGGTCCCAAATTACCACCAGAAGGAGGGAAGGGGGAGCCCCGACAGAAGGCTTCAGACCCTATGAGGACCACTACCACCACCCCCGGGAGGGGGGGTCACCATCCACGTCAAGGCCCAGATTGTTAGAAATGTGAAGCCTGGGAACAGTCTGAGACTGCAGGTGGGGCAGCCCTTTTCCCTGAAAAAAACAAAAACAAAACTCAATTGGGGAAAAAGTGAAAGAGATGAAATACTTATTTTCAAGTCACCTGGGCTTTTTACTGTTTCAGCAACACAGAATCTTTGATTCCTACCCTAATTAAGTTTATAAAAGTGTGCAGTTTGACATACACATTAATTATATTTGTCAATGTACATGTCAATGTATATGTCACCCCCCTGGGGTACGTGCATGGGGGTCCCAGAGGCAGGAGGGTGGGTGTGACGGGGGGGGAGCTTGAGTCTGGTTGGCTGCATTGCAGGGCTTGGCTTTTATTTATTTATTTTATATATTTATTTATTCAACTTATATCCGGCTCCCATTAGTGTCACTGCACTACTTTGGGCGGGTTACAGTCTCATAAAATAGAAAACACAAATGAAAACAGAAATATTAAAACTGATAACAAAAACCCTAAAGAATAATAAGGAAACTAGATAACACTGAATAATCTCAGAGTGGATGGAAGAAAAGAGGGGAGAGAAGAAAAGGAGGAAAGTGGGGGGGGGAGGAAGTTGGTCAGAGCTGGGGTCGGTGAGAAAAGGCACGTCTTTTTGAATTGCTTCCTAAAAGTCCACGGGGGGGGGAGGCGGAGCACCTCCAAAAGCTGGTCCCCTTAAGGTTGGAGCCCCCGCAAGGAAGGCCCTGCCCTCTTGTAGAGGGTTGATGGGCCTGGGACACATTTGAGGCTGTTCCTCTGTGCTCTGATTGTGTAGAATAGTTTTAAAACGGCTGTGTAAATGCTTTCCCCTACCTGAGACCTTGGCAGGCTTTTCTGTACGGGGGGAGGGGGGAAGAGAAGTGCTTACTGTAGGCAGAGAAACAAAGGCGGGGGGGGATCCCAGGGGTCCTCCTCACCCAGCCTTTTGCTCAGTTCCCAGTGCTCCTCCCAACTGGATGAGACCCACATAATCAAGGGGACTTGCATAAATGCTTTGCCAGGTTCCCACTGAGTCAGTGGATTTAGTTGAATTAGGACTAACAGCGGGATCCACATTTTTCTCTGTGGTCTTTGGGAATCCTTGGGGATCAGGTGGAGGGGGGTGGTAGGGTCTCACATGTTTTATCTCTCTGCAAAAGATGAGGTGGCAGGGAGGGGTCTCCAACTTATGGTAACCTTATGAAGGAGCCGTCCCCAAAATTTGCCCGGCCTTTAGCAGCCCTGCTCCTCTCTTGCAAACCCAAACCTGTGGCTTCATTTAGAGAGTCAGTCCATCTCCAATTGGGTCTTCCTCTTTTGCTGCTGCCTTCCCCCTTGCCCAGCAGGAGGGTCTTTTCCAGGATGTTGTCCCCAAAGTAGGAGAGTTTCCAACGTTTTTGCCTACAGAGATGTTTCAGGACCCACCCACTCACTCACCCACTTGCTGGTCTTCCTGGCAGTCCAAGGGATCCAGGAAGCTCTCCTCCAGCACCAGAGCGGCCCTGCCGGATTCTGTCTATCTTTGTCTTTTCCCCTCCCCGTTATCCACATTTCCTGTTGAGCGAGACTGGTGATCCGAAGGGTCCTGGCAGCTTGCAGCTAACCAGTGACGGAGTCATTATTTTTGGTGGTGTTCACTTCCGGCCCTGCCACGGAGCTGTTCCAATCTTTAAACCCAAGGCCTTCTTCAGTCATGGGGGGGGGGGGGGGGTGGCCATGGGAAGAGCAGGAAGGGGGGGAGGGTAAGGGAAGGAAGACCTTGGCCCGTGGGGCGGGCCTCCTGGGGACGGGAAGCGGTGCTGGTCAGGGCAGGAGGAAGCGCGCCAGAGTGGCTGCTGCTGTCGCTGCTGGGCGGGCAGGGAGCTGGAGAGGACCAGCCGCCCCTGGAGGGGCAGGGAGGCTGTTGGCAGCCCAGCAGCAGAGGCAGGGGGAAGAGGGAGCAGCGGGCAGCCAAGTGCCCACCGCCAGGTAGGAGTCACCAGACGTCTCTGGGTTGGGATCTGGGGGCAAGGCGGGGAGCTGGCAGTGGAAGAACCCTGGGGGGGGTTTCTTTGGAAGGAGGTGCCCCTTGTTCCGGTTGGGGTTCCCAGAGTGGGGTGGGGGTCCCGCTGGACTTGGTCTTGGGAGAGGCAGGCTGGAATTCACGCTCAGTGGAGCAGACCCAGGCAAGGGAGAGCCTGCGTGGGATGGGGGTCTGAGGTGGGATCGGGGTTGGGGGGGGGAACAGTGCTGGCACCGCAGCTCCTTGGAGGGCTAGGAGGTTTGCGGGCCTCCCCCTGCCCTGCTAGGGTAAAGGGCAAGGCTGGGGGCCCGGGGGCCCGGCGGTACCTGCAGCAACGCCAAGCCAATCGGGCCGGGGGGTGCCGGACTGCCCCCTCCCCAGAGGCAGAATGCAGGGGTGGGGTGAGTTGGGGAGGCCGCTGGGTGTGAGAGACAGCAGGAGGGTTTGCTCTCCCTCTGCGTATCTTCTGTGGGCCTGCGCCAGACCCCCCCCCCGCCCAGCACGCACGTGTGTCAAGAGCATGTGGGGTTCTGGTACGGAGCACCGCCCCCCCTCTCCCTGAGAGGTTGTCCGAAGGTCTCTTTGACGGGGGGGGGCGGGGAGAGGAGGTGCTGAGGCTTTGCGACCTCCTGCTGGGTGGAAGGCGAAGAGGTCCTCCC